GTTTAGTACACCCATAATCCAATCACCTTGCAAAAGCCCCATCTCTGAGTACATGAGAGTTTTGAGGGGACATTCTGGATCTAGACCATAACATCTGGATTCTCCAAAGTAGAGATGTTTGTTTGGATGCTTGAAATCCTAATAGGGAAGACAAAACAGTGTACAAAACAATATGGTACCAAGCAAGGTGGGCCATAATGGAGGCTCGGCAGAATATTACTGGAAGCAGGAGTATGTGCAGTAATGCCTGAGAGATCAGGAAGACTTCATGGAAGTGGTGACAACTGACCCTCAATTCACAGGAAGAGATGGATTGGAAAAAACCACACAGGAAGGAAAGAGCAGGTATTGGGAAGTAGCCAATGGCAGTGAACTACAGAAAGGAGCACAGCAGGGAGGTAGGTGAGGTGGAAGAGATGTGGGTCTGATGCCCAGAGTGCTGGTGTGTTCTCTAAGGCATGTGGTCTTTGTCCTGTAAGGATTGGGGAGTCCTGCGGAGTTTTAAGCAGTAAAGTTAAAAATACTAAACTTGTAAGAAAGAAAATGTTTGTTACTGCGGAGATGGGACTGGGGAGGGAACAATGGGCATCTCTGAGTCCCACTCTCCCCCAATCTGCTCAGTATGTTTCACACTTTCTTTGTTGAGAGAGCTGCAAAGGGTACTGGACTTTGGAGCCGTAAATCTGTTTCATTTCCTTTCTCCCATGTACCTACACACCTATCTAGCTACAGCACCTGATAAATAATGTGGAGAACTTACAATGTGCAAGGAATCATGCTGAGTTCTGAGGAGCTAGGGATGAATAAGACTGACATCTCATCCTGTCCATCCTTGGGCTTAGAATCCACAGGAGAAATGAGGCAAGTCAATAGGCTCTTCCAGCACAGCAGGTGTGTGATAAAGGATGTACAGAAGGCTGAGGAAGCTCATGAGGAGGACAGGGTAAAAGTATCACAGTGCCTTCAGGAACTAGAGGAAGTTCAAAGGGGCTGGAGCACAGAGTGCAGGGGAAGAGTGTGAACAGAAGGGGCTGCAGATCTGAAGACTGCAGTGGGCCAAATCATGAGAAGCCATGAGCACTACGTTCAGAAGCCCAGACTCTCAGGGCAATGAGAAACAAAAACATTCCACTGGGGTGTGACATGATAAGACCTTGATAGCTTGGAGAATGGAAGAGCTGACCCCATGGAATGCTTATTAGTCTATGCTGAACACTGCACAGGAATTAGCTCACTTAACCCTCACAACAAGCCCAAGAGGTAGGTTCTAATTTTTTTTTTCCATTATAGTCATGGGGATTGAACCCAGGGCCTTTGCAGTAAGCTACATGCCCAGCCCATTTTTGTATTTTTAATTTTGAGATAGGGTCTCATTAAGTCAATAAATTACCCAGGCTGGGCTTGAATTTGCAGTCCTCCTGTGTCAGCCTCCCAGAGTGTTGGAATTATAAGCATGCACCAGTATATCTGACTGGAGGTTGTGTTATGATCCACACTTAAAGATAGAAGGGAAGTAGTGAGAGACAATCATGTGTTCCAGTAGGAACCCAGGCCCCCTACCTGGAAGACCAATAAAATGATTGACAAGAAGTGAGAAGGTTTGAAAAATAAGCCTTGATATTTTTGGAGATTGGCTGGAAATAGGAAAGGAGAAATAGTGAATTATGGCCCTTCCCTCCTAGTTTGAGTTTGAATTCTACTCCCTGCTAGTGGGTGGCCTTTTCATTCTTTGGTGCAAAAAAATCACCCTCAGTGTGCATAGATGTATACCTGGCCTCATTTCATAAGGGATTTGAGGTGGCGTAAAGATAAACCCCATACAATGAAAAAAGAACTAAAACTATGAAGGGGCCCCATCTACTATGATCCGATGTGTAGTGTTTCATGACTTTTCAAGGCCTTATAGGGTACCCTTTGGCCTCCATTCCACATGCCCAGTTTTTTATATTCCTTTCTCACACAGGGTCTAGGTTTCCATGTTGTCCTTGTTCTTGTACTCCAAGTCAATACCCCACAATGACATAATTTTGCCCTCACTCCACCTCAAGTTCTTCCTATCCATGGCTTTTTCTCTCTTTGTTATGGCTCTTTGCCTCTCCAAAGAGCTTCTTTGTTGTTGATACATCCATGCATGTCAAACTGGGAAATGATCTACCAAAGTGCACATGTATATTTATCTGTCTTTATTAAGAACAGACTTATGTATTTTGAATATAGATATGCCAGGCAATTGGAGATGATCCCCATACAATAACTAACTTGATACATTCCTTATACCTTGATAGGGTAAGTTCCAGCTCACAATGAAGAAGTGATATTACAGGTACCCTGGGAAGATTTCATCTACAATCAGGTAGGATTTCCTTTAGGCTTCCTGAAATAATAAAAATTGTTCATGGATTTCTAGTAATACTTTCTGGGTCTCTGAAGAGTCTCAGGGCCTTGGTTATAAACCAAGGGACTTCAATTAAGTGTAGTTCTTTCCCACCCCTAAATCTGAAAAAAAGGTTCTATAGATAGTCCACTCTTCCCGTTTCTTGTTCATTTCCTCCTCTTCCTCCTCCTCCTCCCATTAAAGCCTAAGTTCATCTCAGAAATCTGCTATCTGGAAGCCAAAACATTTGCAGCATCCTACCAGCCCTTGGAAAATTTACTGATGGTTCTTGTTTTATTGTTATGAAAAATTTCAGTTTGAAGCTGTATCTTCTGTTCAGTGTGTAAATCTACTAACAATAAAAAAATCATAATGACAGTTACTATTAGTGGAACTCCTACTTGTATCTCTCAGATACTGTACCTAGGCCCTTTGCATGTATTACCTCATTGTATTTTGCCCTACAACCATCCTGAGAGGTGTGAATAATTGTTTTCATTTTACAGATGAAGAAATTTGCATTTACTGTGGTTAATACTTTACCTAAAGTCATTCAGATAGGAAAGAGTGCAACTGAGATTTGCATTAAGGTCTACTTGGTTGTATAGTTCATGTTAATCATTTCCACAGTGTGGTCAACAGAATGGCGGGCTGCGGTGGGGGGCCCTCAACTGATCAAGAGCAAAGAAGATTTGGGGACCAGCCTTGGGAGTTGATGGGAGATAGACAAAGTAGTTGGTTGTCACATTGGCAACATATGCTATACAGATTGTTCCTACTGGATTCCAAGTACCAACTGACTGATTTACTTCTACTGTAGTAGAATAGCAACCACTTATTCCCCTCAATTGAAAGGAGGCCTCCCTCTGAATTGGGTGGCTTTTAGTTTTTCAGACGAGTTCTTCATTAGGGCTGTAAAAACTTCTATTATTTGGAGAAGACAATCACATTGGAGATGTACTTCTCTATCCTAGGGATTACTTTAGCCTGCCTTCTCATGGCCTCCACTTCTGCTGTCAGAAAAAAGGTCCAGATGATGTATTTCAATCCTCCACCATACCACCTATATCCTCCACCTCAGCCCTCAGTCCTCCAGCATACAACCTATGCAACCTGTATGCAACGTATAAAGCCTCTAAGGAGCCAACATGGTGCATTTTTGCTCAGCTTGGCTCCAGGGGTCTGTGAGGGCTCATTCTTGAGCAATGGTGGTATAGTTGGGATTCTTAAAGATGCTGATGTTGAAACAAACACCAGATTGAGTCAGGTCATGATGTGCTGTTAGGGGATGCCAGGCTAGCAGCCAGACTTGGAACTGAAAGGATACGGGAGCTCAGATAATAACTTTCCTCTGAATTCTTTTCATCTGTAAAATAAAAGTAATTAGTTATATGGGTGCTAAGGTGCAGTCCAGCCATGGACTCTGGAATATGATGGATTCATAGCTGGGCAGGTAGAAAAGACTGGTGTATTTTCTAGGTTTACATGTGTCCCCTCCAAAATTCAGGTGTGATGGTATGAAGAAGTGGGGCTTTGGGGGCTGATTCAGCAAAGAAGGCTCCTTGTCCATTAAAGGGACTAAGGCCCTTATTAATCCTCACAAAGCATTTGGTCAGCTTGCTAGCTTGCTTTTAAGCCATGCAAGGACTCAACTTTCTGCCTCTTCAGAGGACACAGTCTTATCAGACCACTCAAGCTACTAGTTCCTTGACTGCAGACTTTCCAGCTTCCAGAACTGTATGAAACCAAGGTTTGTGTTCTTCATAATTTACCCAGCATCAAGTATTTTATTGTAGCAGCACAAATGGATTAAGATAAGGTGTTCACCCAGTTCTGAGTGTATGTGATAGAGATGACAGGGAGAGAAAAATAGTTCTGACACTGAAGCCTGAGAGATTAGAAGGCCCTACTTCCATATGCAACAATGGAATCCCAGAGGCTGAGAAACTGTTGCTTAAAAAGAAACTCCAAGAAACCACATAACTGATCACCAATCTATAAAAGTGGTTCTGTACCTGCCAGCTCATTGGTCCTTGCAGGATGAGGATAATCTCATTCATCTCTAGCTTTGTCCGTAGACTCAACGGTAACATTATGACAATTGCGGCAAACTTTGCCCACTTTATTTTTAGCTTGAGAGCAGGTTAAGTATTCTGCACTTGCTACCTCTGAGATAAAGTCTCCTTGTTAGGGTAGAGGCACCACCATAGGTGTGATCTCAGAACCATGCTATTTGGGCACTCAAGCCCACATCTCTATTTTTCTAGCATGTAAAACCAAGTGGGCAGGACTGTGACTCCTGTCTGCAGTGCTGTGTTGAGCAGCTATGGGGGATAAGTATGCAGAAAGGACTCAGAGGTGTCATAGACTCAATCTTCTATTCCAGCAGCCACAGAACCTATAGGAGGCTTGGTGTCTACGTGATGTGAAAAAGCTGGAGTCATACCAGGAAAACCACTAGGATGTGGCACACTATTTCCTTTCTTCTGGTTGACCACAAACTCTTGTTGTTTTAACAAGTATTGAGGAAAATCGTTTGATAACCCAGGCCTCTACTCTTGCTTTTAAGCTATGCCCCTCTAATGAGGAATATTCAAGGGACAATTCAATTTCAAAACCACATGGGGAAAATAGCCATAGAGATAATTTATTAACTTAAAATTTCATACACGTATAAATATTTGCCCACATTAAAAAGCACATAAAACCAGAGCCTCTACCTCCCTCAGCAGACTGCACTCAGCTCTGCTCCTTGACGCTTCTCTACTTCCCACGGTCTCTGGCCAGCAAATCTGCAGGATGCTTCTTGATGTTGGATGCAGGGACAGGTGAAAAGAGTGGCTCCCCAGGAGGGCAAAGTCCCTCCTTCCCTTTTACATTTGGCGTGTTCTAGATAGGTCCCCCCTCTGAGTTCAGGTTTGGATTAACACAAATGTGCTTCCTGGAAGAGTGAGGTCATCACAGGTTTTCTTTGATCAACTTTGATTTTTTAAAGTCATACACTTTGGGCTTTACTTAGGGAGTTTCAATGGACAAACTCTGTTGCATTTTACAAGCACTGATTGTTTTTTTCCCTTACAAGGTGAGCAATGCTGTAGCACCCTCAATATACGTCCAGTCTTGCTTGGATAAACCATCTGGGGCCAAGCAAGAAAATCCCAACCAGTTGGGAGCACTTAATTCCTGTCTTGGTGGGATAGTATACAATCAGGGTAAGCCTCCAGGCTCTACAACAACATATACATCTCAAAGTAAATTTCATATAGATTAAAATGTTAATATTCAACTAACAGTGAAGATACTAGATTATGTACAAATTCACACCCAACTTCCCTCATACCAATACAAACATAATGTCTACAGGACAGAGAAAGGCAGCTGGTGGGGGAATGAGGCATATGAGAGCTGTGTTGACTGACATTTCTGTTGACTAAAATCCTTCTTTTCTCCTCTAGCTGCCCATTCAGGGAGGTAAAGAAGTAAATTCCACTTGCTGGCATGTGACCTCCTCAAAAGCCTTTAATTTTTAGGTTTGGCTTATGATTCTTATAAAGGCAAGCATGCTCTTAAAGAAATTATAATCCTTGTCTTATTTTTCTTGATCCTTTCCCTCCAAAGAGCAGGAAGGACACTAGTGTCCAGAGCAAGTGTCTATGGTTATGGCTGGTCTACAGTAGAAAGGTACACTTGAGCTGGTTGTAACACATGGGCACATGTGCAATTCTGGGAATCTAATTTTGAAAAAATAGCGGAGGGCTCTCAGTCTGCAGACATTTCTGCCATAACAGTGAAAGCACAGGATTCCAAAGGCAAAAGGAGATGAGACTGATTTGGTTACTCTCACAGGGGGTAAACTTTAAAAGAAAACTATAACCCACAATGATTTTCAAGTTTTCAAGGGAGTGACTACAACTAGCTAGTCTTGACCTTGTATTTATCTCAGATTAAAAATATGATACCAGAAGGATCCATTTTTCTCTCTTCCAAAAAATAAAAAGACTCAACTGAAGGAAGCCTGGGTAGAGCGACAGGCCCAGGTTCACTTTGAAAAGATAAGGAGATTCAGATCTTGGACAAGGGACGAAGGCTGCTCAGTATGGCTTTCCTCCACAGAGTATATGCCAGGGCCTGGCCAGCACAGGGCCTTCCATCCTCGTAGAGAGGGAGGGAAGAAAGGACAGAGTCCCTCTAGTGACATCTCCCCCAGATACAACCATGGGAACTTCAAATGCGTATGTGCTCAAGGGTGGACAAATGCTGCCTAGAGCTTGCTTTTATTCATTCTTGGGAAATGGAGAAATGATCACCTGAAAATTGGTAGGGGAAATGTCTTAGGTTTATCTCTCCAGTGCACTTTCCCAGGCAATCATTCCCATATGATTTCATGGTGCTGGTTTCCCAGGATTCGTCTGCTCCTTGCTTCTAGAAGGTCCTACAGAACCTTCTGCTTATGGCATGAAGAGCCACCCAGCCGATCACTGTAAGACTCACTCACAACTGGTCCCCAGTGTTACCTATAATACTGAAGGCACAAACTCTAACCTCAGAATTAAATGATTATACTCAGATCAAAATGGTGGTGAGAGAAAAGGATGGTGATGATGACGAGTCTCTCTGCAATCACTTATGTTACAAAAAGGCTACTTTTATATTCGAGGAATCTACCAGTGGCTAGGTTTTGCTTGTGCACAAAAGAAAGCCAAATGTTTTCCAGCAGAACACTGAGAAGGAAACAACTGATGTGGTGCTGGATATCCAATGGTGTCTACTCTGTAGAAAGTAAGCACAATTCTAATCTCTGTTTCGCATTAAAAAAAGATACCATCTCCCAACCCATCTCCCTTTAGTGTGTTACTGACTGCCAGTGAGATAGGTCCCTGAAAAAGGAGAGACACAATTACTTTGCAGTTAAATAATTTAACATCCTAGGTCAGTATGTGAAGAAACCTGCAAATTTCCTATGAAAATTTTGTGGCCCGTGTCTCAAAGTCAAATGAAAAATATATCTTCCAGAATTTGCTTCTCCTCCAGGTCTTCAGGGGTCCTGCAGGCCCCCATCTTCTTCCAGGCTGATTTCTGAGGACTAAGTTGGAAAGTGCTGTGATTCCATGTCACAGCTTCTCTGGAGGGATGAGGCTGAGGTTCGGAAGCAGAGTTTGGGCTCAGAGACTGAACCAAATCCAACAGAGATGTCTTGTACCTGTCAGACACAAAACCCAGACATAAACAGATCAGGCTATCAGAACATTAGAATCCAAGAATCCAGTCATGGGCTGTCCAGGGCAAGAGTCAGATCACAGTTCACAACATGTGCTCTAACAAGCCTCCTTGGGGGAACTTTAGGGAAGGAACACACAGAAGAGCTTCAAAAACAAGGTCTTCACTGTCTGTCTGTCAGCTCTTCTTTTCTGCTGACCTCTAATACTCCTTCCTAACTTACGAAGAGAGTAGAAAAAATAAGTATGATACAGTAAATAGCACTATCTATTACTTATTGCAAAGTAGGTTCAGGGAGACAGTGTCTCCATCACCTGAAATATATGGGATTCTTCCTTGTTTTGACTGGGCAGAGAAGGAATGAAGGACTATATGTACATTTCCCATAGCCTCAAAATGATACAATACTTCCGTTATATCTGGTTACTCAGCAGCAGTTACTCTCTCCAATAAGGGAAAGGAAACTGGGTATTGGCAAACATTAGTAATGCCTACACGTTGAGCAATGGATCTTTGACATAATTTAGAAAAATTTTCTTATTTTAGAGGTGAAGAAACTGAGGCCCAGAAACATATACATAAGCTGGGATCATGGAGCAAATGAGTGGTTTTAAACCCAAGCTCTTTCGATGGCCAGGACTAGTGTCCGTCTTCCACCTGGATAAAGAAGAGGTGCAACTACATGAAAAGTAAAAGAAAGAATGGCTGCAGTTTCCAACCGTATTTAAGCACACTACGATTAGTTGTAACTAGACTATTCTTCCAACATATTAATCTATTCTAAAAAAACAAATGTTTATCTTTATGGTCCTGCTGTTATTATAAAAATTCTATTTTTCTAGGAGGCACATTCAGTTATAGATGACACGGTGGGAGGAGGTAAGATCTGTGGTAGGCAGTGCTAAGATTTCAGGTACACCTCATAGCTTATTTTGTTCAACAAGTGTGTGGACAGTACTTTTGGCATAAAAAATAATTTGGCAGATTAAAAAGCAACAAATACCCAAGATTATTTTAAAAAGCAAAGCTTGAAAAAATCACCCAATCTATCACAACAATTATAAATGCCATAAAGCAAAATACAAATACATTCTTGTGGGACTTTGTACTAATTACCAGAAATAAGCAGTGTCATTATCATATTGCATTCTGTGAGCAGTGTGCTTTAGTTTGGTGAGGTGACATGACTAGGACACTACAAGGTTGATCAGCTTGGTCTGACCCCGTTGGAGCTGTTTGGTATTTGAATATTTAAAGTGACACTTTACTTACCCAAATACCATAACATACTACCCTTTGAAGTATCTGACTCTGTTTTACCCATGGGCATTAAATATGTTGCTTCTACTTTAGAGAACCAGTACTCAAAAAAGTTTACGCAGAGACTGACTTTAATAGCTTCATTATGGACAAATGATAAATAAAAGACTTCTTTGGTCTATTCTGCCAGTCCCATCATGCACTGGGCTGCAGTAGCATTAATTCTGTCTTCCAAGGGCTCTTTTTCCAGTTTTGCTTGCCTCTGAGCTAGCAAGATATTGAGACAAAACACAAAGGAAGATGCAACCTCTGCTGATTTGACTTGGCTCTATGTTTCAATTCAAAAAAGGGTCAGTGTGACATGGCCAAATGTACAAGTACAATATAAACTTTTCTCTGAGTTCCAGAGTTATACCAAACTGCTGCCTGATAGCTATAACTCAGATGTGTAATAGGGATCTCAAACTATCTAAAAAAAGACTTTCACCTTTTTCCTGCAAATTCTATGGTTTCCTATCAATCCAGTTTGTTTAGGCTAAAAACTTGCTGTTCTCTTTGATTCTCATCTCTGAGCTTTGGCCTGTGCTGTACCCTTTGCTTAGGATGTTCTTTCACATTTTGTTTACTTTCTCTATCCATTAATATTTTTGTTTAAATGTGATCTCCTCAAACAAGGCATTCTTTAGCCACTCTACACAAATGAAACATCACTTCATAGATACTGTTTCTCCTCTGATGCCCCTCTGCCATGTCACCCTGCCTTGTAGAAGCCAGCTGATTATGGACTGAAACCTCTACAAACTGTGAGCTGAAATAAACCTTTCCCTCCCTTAACCTTGGGTGTTGGGTATTTTGTCTCAGAAATGCTAAAAGTAACTAAGGCACCGTTGCATAATTCTGATCTACTGGAAATGATTCTATTTTTTTCACTACTACTTCCTAGCTAGATATTTCTTATTATGTTAAAGAAGTAATTTCTCTTCTAGCTTACTAAATTCAGTGATTAACATTAAAAATTTTTCCAAGTAACTTTTTAGTATGTACTGAGATAATAATACTCCTTTTATTCTTTGATATTTTGTGAAATATTCTATTATTGGCTTCCAAAGTAGTTATAAACACTGTATTTTAATTTCTAGAGTATACTCTATTCATTTATGTAATATTATCCTCTATACATACTAATAGATTTTTTTATGACTATCTTATAGTTTGAAAATCTGTATCTATATTTTTAAATAGTCCTTCTTATAGTTTTTTAATCCTTAAAATATTATTTTTAGTTGGGCAGGGGAAAAGGAATATATCAAATCTCAGAAGAATAGATTTATAAAGAAGGTAGAGGATAACTAATTATTAAATGACCAGGAGTCCTAAAATAAGTCTTAAAAGTTCTTCATTTGCTAAAGCAGAAACAGTCTGGCATTTAGGTTTCTGTAGTGCTTACAGAATACTCAATGTATTCTAGAGGCTGTTCATTTGCCAAACCTAAGCAGAAAAGGTCAATAAGAATAAAAGATGGTCTTGAATGTGCCTGTGGGACTGCAACCTCATAAGAGAACTACTCACAAACCAGGTATGTGCACACACAGGACTGACAGTATGACTCAGCACCTCACCTGTGTATGTTCGCCACTCAGCATAGACACTGTCACAAGAGCATTCTAACTCAACATATTGCTTTTTGGTGTTCTTATGCACAACAGAATGGAGACAATGCAAAGCTAGTACATCTTGAATGAAGGCTAAACAACTTACAGGAATGTCAGTGATTATCGTGGGAGACCGTTCAGTCAACAACAGTTTTAAAATAACATATTAAAAGGCATCTATAACAGAGCAATAGAGCCTATTCATGTTATTACAATTTATATATTTTTAAAATTTTTACCTTTTTATCTAAGACTGTTTCTTTTATGTGAAGGAAAAGGAACGAGAAATACCCAATTCAATTTTGAAGAAGAAAACCAATGTTAGAGGGCTCACAGAACATGATTTTAAGACTGACTATAAAGCTACATTAATCAAGACAATGTCATAGCAGTGAAGAGTGAAGAAATACATAGGTCAAAAGAACAACAAGTTCAGAATATATCAATGCAAATGTGACCAATTTAGTTTTTTACAGAATGGAAATGTAATTCAATGTAAAAAGGACAAATTTTTGAACAAACAGTGTTAGTGTTGCAAAACTGGATGGACATCCATATATACCCCCCCAAAAAAACCCACAAGCCTTACAAGTTTCACAAATGTTAACCCTAAATGGAAAATGGATCTAAATGGGAAACAAATATGGGAGAAATATCTGTGACTTAGAGTTAGTCAAAGAGTTCTTAGACATACAAGCACCATACACTAATGAAAAATTTAATAAATTTGACTTTACAAAAATTAAAAATATTTCATCTACAAAAGATACCTTAAGAAAATTAAAAGACAATGCTCCACTATGGGAGAAAATAATTGCAATATCTAACAAAGGATTTCCATCTAATATATAGAAAGTACTTTCAAAATAATACCAGATATCATAAACTACTTTCATTCCCATTTCTGGATGAATATATTAATTCTAAAATTAGAAGAAAATTTTGTATGACTTTTGTCTTTAACCATGAGATTCTTCATCCAATCATTTAATTTCATTCAAGTAATAACAGCACACATCTTTTTGATTACTATAACCCTAATGCTCAGCAAATGCCTGACACATAGTACTTATTCATTAAATATTTAATTAAATATATGCACAAATGTTAATAAAGGTACTCTAAAGAAAAATGGTGGCAGATAGAAGTATGGATGGGCACAAAGTAATGGTTAGAACAGAAGTGAAAGTTAAATGTATAATAACAGCATAAAGTGGGGAGGGGAAAGTTGACATACTGTTGTGTGGACTTTATACTATACATGAAGTACATCAATTCAGGTAGCTTGTTTAAATTATTTGGAGCTTCGATAAATGTTACCATTGTAGCATTTATTGGAAACTGATTACTTTCAACTTCCAATTTTAATTAATTTTAGTCTCTAACTGTATTCAGGATATGACTGCATTTTGTGTGCTGGCCTCTTATACTGCAACTCTAAATTTATTCAGTTCTAGGAAGTTTTGTGCAGGTCCAGGATTCTCTACGTAGACTATCATTTGATCTGAAAATAGGAACTTTTCCAATATTTTACCACTTTTACTTATATTTTTAGACAATGAAGTATTAAATTGTACTGGCAACCTTTAAAAAAATCAAGACTCCTTACACTGTACCAGTATTTCATGTCCATAGGGTAACTTGGGTCTCAGAACAACCTTGTGAAATATGTAAGAAAATTACAATCCTCCTCTCTGTACAAGGTAAGACTGGAACTCAAAAAGATTAAGTACATTAACTTGACTAATTCAAGATCCTACAAGAACTGGCAAGGGCAGCACAATGACCAAAATTTCAGACTCTTTGAGTCATGTTCTTCGCCCCCCAGGACATTACCAACTGAATACGGATGTGCCTTTTTTTAACACATCTGCACTGGAACTAAGAGCCAAACTACTGCAGCCCTGCCTTACTCTGAGTCTCCAAATGCAGCAGCAGCACTAGTAATCTGTAAGCACAAACACATGCTTTGCTCAGGACCCCATTCAATGCTGAGTTTGCTCCACTGCACAACACTTATTATATATGATGGCCTTATGCATAACCTTCAGTGTAACAGAGTAAAGTAACT